CAATCTTATTTTGTCTAATGGAAATGTCTTCCTTCGCGTAAATGGCACAATAGTAGTTTTAGAAGGATTTATGCTCAATCCTTCCCTATCACACCACGATACGACAAGATTTAAGGCAATTTGCATTCTGTTAGTGATAATTCAATCATATTTTCCACGTACAATTATGACTTTATAATCTAAGAAGCAAATTATTTCGAAGCCTATTAAATTTTTGAGAAGACCACAATATAGATGATAACACGCCTCCTTGTGGGCATCCTTTGCTTGCTCTTACACTGATGAGTGAGCTTCCAAGGTTTGCTGATATTTCTCTTTTTGATAATATTGATCCAATTTACAATGCGTTGATCGAAACCACGTTTCATCATAGCTGTAGTCATTGAATCGTGAGATGAATTATCGAATGCACCTTCAATGTCAAGAAATGCAGCAAGTGAAATTTCTTTGGCTTCAAAAGATCTTTTTCTAGTTTTGAAACAACCGTATGGAGTGCTGTTACTGATGAATTACCTTCCTGGTATGAAAACTGATATTTGCTCAGAGGATTTCTAACTAGATATGATGATTTTATGTGTTCATCTATTGTTTCTTCTATTGTAGACGCGAAGCTTATTGGCCTGAAGAATTTTGGTGAAGTTTTATCCTTTTTATTAGCCTTGGGAATTAAAATAACCCGCACTTGTCACCACACTGCCGGTATATAACTTAATATTAAGCTTGCTTGAAATAACTTCGTTAGAATAGGCGTTAAAACCGCATTTCCCATCTTTACTAGTACAGCAAAAAATCCATTCCTACCTGTTGACTTGAAAGGTTTAAAGGAGTCAATCGCCCATTCAACTTTTCTGTTAGTAAAGCAGCACCTCTTGTTCTGTCTAACTCAGACGTTTCATTCAATATTTCATGAATATTTGTCCTGGTTTCATCGATACCAATTGCTGTTGTCGTTGCGTTATGGTCTTCGATTGAATTAATAATAGATCATGGAATTTGCGTTCTCATCATCAACTCTAACGTGCTCTAGGTTGCTGGAGTATTTTCAATGTACTCACATGTATGCCTCCTGTGTATTCTCTTTGATCTCCGTATTTCCTCATTATAAGCGGTGAGGGATTCCTTATGTTTTTCCACTGTTGTGTTCGTTAAGCCCTGTTGAAAAGCTTCCGGGTCTTTTTACGAAATGTATGTAGCCTGTTGTTCCATCAAGGTACATCCCTGTTTGTAGAATTTTCCTTTTCGATGCTGCTCTCATAAACGGCATGTATCAAACTTGAAAGTTGTTTAGAACTATTCTCAAATCCTTCACTAGTGTTTGGGCTTATTTCTATCGTGTCTTTTCCTGCCACAAGCTCTGAAATATATAACTCCCAATCTGTTTTCCTAGGATCTCTAAAAGTTTGTATGAGCTGACCAGTAGTATTTTCTTATAATCTTTGGTTTTTATTAGTTAGGTAGGTTCCGATTCAACACATTGTAGTTTCATTTTTATACCTGTGATCTTGACTTTTATACCTAGGGGATGAGTATTTAAGGGGGTAAGATTTTGATAAGTTCTTTAGTGGGAATGACACTGATGAAGACCGCACATTGTAGTCGAAATACGTATCTATCATGGATACCAAAATTAATTAATTGGAATTAAATGGAAGATAACCTTTTTTTTGCTGTTTTATTTAAGCATTCCGCTAACAACCCAATTTCATTACTTCATCATCATATCAGTATAACTATAATTTTCATTTACAGAAAATAGTTATCCTGCATCTCCTGAAGGACCAGAAGGTGTATCAAATAACAAATCATTGTTATTTACATTTCATTTTAATATAATATAATATGATCTATGGTTTTCAGAATTTGGATTACCCAGAGAATAAATTGAATATCATCATACATTAGGCCAATGTATTTAAATTGTTTTACCTTTGCAGAGTTTTGCTATTTCAAGAATTATTCATTGATACTTGTTGTATGCACAAACAACCTCGATTATTTAGCAAATTGATTCTTTACTTAAATTGTGGATTCATTAAATAGGCAAAGTTGAGTTCAATCATACCATTGCAACTAAAATATTCATATAAAGCTTGAGTTTAGAGAAATTAAGTGACTAAAATCGAGGTTGTTTGTATTTTCTTAAATTTTATTAATTATATTTGATTTACGGTTTAGCGGCCTCACCTCCGACCACCGGGCTCTAGTGATGAATATCATCAATTACTTTTACTTTGATTTACGGTTTAGCGACTTTGCATGTAGACCATAGATCCACCGTTGTATAATTGGCAATCCACCCATGTACTGAATGGGAATTGTGGGTTCGAATCCCACCGGTGCCCTTAGATTTTTTCGGAAATTTTCTCACACACACGTCTCTTACTGATGATATGTGCTTACCTCTCAGTATGTTCAAACTTTCTTATAAATTATTAATTATATATAGACGAGATGGCTCCGGAATTTTGACGTCTGTGTTTTAAGGAGATACCTGTGATGGGTCGAAGAAAGTCTACGAGCAGGCCGGTTGCTGTTGGTGTAGCTCCACACGGTTATTTGAGTGAGATCATTCCTTTTTTATCTATACAGTAACCCCTCCCTATCGTTAGGACGTCAATTCAGCTTATCGTTTGCCAAAACGAACCCTGCAGCAAATCATACCCTCTTATCCAACATCCCAGTGATCCCTCGTGGAAGTGCAGAGGATTTCTTGGCTTCCATCAAAGCGAGTGGCGCGTCAACACATTCCTACCCATTCCTTTCTTGACCTGCGTGCGGGCGGGGCCGGCGCTGGTATTGTCTAGTTAGAGATCACCAGTTTTTACACATTGAGGATGATTGCTAGTCCCAAGCATCGTCTATTGGTTCTCTGTGTAAGTACAGCTGATCTGGCAATAACAGAGTAGCAACCGTGAGCGGTCAATCATGCTCATGCTCATGCTCTTCCAATTACTGAAATTGCAGCTCTTGGAGCTAATTGCCCTTCATCGTAAATTAACTTACAAGATGTTGTAGGAACTTCTAATATCCTACTTTTATTTTTCCATGGCTCCTGGATAAGGGCAATGTCCAGTTTTCTCTCTGTGAACCATCTACAAAGTAGGGCAGTTGCTCCCTTCGCATGGTGAAGGTTCACTTGAACAAATTTTATTTTATTGTTGTTGTAGTTGTTGTTGTTCGCCGCTCGCATGGGGATTTAATTTTTCCCCAACATTGGTTTTGCGGTTCCTCTTATTTGGATTATTTTCTGTTTGGATCCTTATAATTCTGTATCCTGGCTTCGATCCTTGTTCTTGTGGTGAATTTTTTTTTCTTTTCTCTTGTCACCGACTGTATTTGTTGTGTGGCCAGGAGCATTATGGTTTGTTTTGACGTAGGACTACGTCTGTGATTTCTATATGGAGGTACACTGAAACAGGTGAAAACCGAAAATGGAACATGTAACAAAATTATGAAAGGTTTTGAACGTTAATAGCTGAGCTGCGCCTGGACCAATTTCAATAATTTTAACACCAATCGATCAGAAATATGTCTACGCAAATTTAGGACATTATCATTTTTCGAAATTTTACTATTGAAAATTGCACGAATCTGCAACTGTTGCTATGATAAAATTATCACCGATTGCCTGCGAAAAGCGATTTCCCTAAAACAGATTTCAAAGTTGAATTCCATACGGTATTTGTTCAATCACCGCGTTGTGAGTGGTGGTGTTCTCAAGTACACAACGAAAGGCTGCCTGCAAGCAGCGAGCTGCAGCCCACATTAGCATCCATAGCAGGAGAAAGAAGTCGCATCGCTATTGATCGGAATCAGTAGCTCTTCGTGATTCGCTGTGGGCCATCTATGTCAAGTGCGTCATACAAAAGAGTATAAACAGAGATAACCTAAATTCCTATTCTTACACAAAACACAAGCTCCTGCTGCAGTTAACAAATAAGATTTATTATATAAGACCACGTAGTCCTACGTCACCATTGCGTACAACCCCATAGGGCTGTCCCTTGTAGTTTTGTTGCTCTACGATCATCTTGTCATAGCCAGTGCCTTCGTGGGCCTTTTGAGAGTCACCATCATATCATGACTTTGCCCTGGTCTTAAACTACCATTGTGTAGATTTGTCATTTGGAACTTTTTCCTTATGTTGGCATTTCCAAACTTGAAATCAAGGATGAATTTACTGTTTTTGATGAAGTTCAAGGATCTTCCGTCGACAGTGAAAACTAGTTCTACATGTTGGTTTTTTACGTTGCGCTGCAGTATCCTCCATGCATCAACAGCCAACCCATCGTGTTAACTTTCTAGGAGAGGCAGAGTTTCTTCATTGTTGCCCTGTGCACCCCAAGGGAAGAAAGTATGAGTATTTCAGGACACGGTATTTCCTGCTAAAAGCTCTGCCTCTCATCAGGGAGTGACTGTAGAAATAATGCTTTTTAACCAGTCTGCAGATTCTTTATTTTATTTTCAGACTATGACTAAATAGCCCGGCTTGAAAACACAATCGCCAAATTTTGGTTTCAATGGTGCTTTTCGTTGTCCTGCTACTTTAGCTAAAATTGCTTTTTGTGTAGTAATCAACTGACCTGTTGTGAGCTCAACATTCGGGTCTCCTTTTGGGAGCACACCCAGCTTCACATGCTTTGCAACATCGCTGTACGATGGGTTGATCTTACCCTCTTTACCTCTAGGAGGTTCTGAATGTTCTGATCGAACCGCTTCATTTTACAAGCTTGAATGTATCCTGCTAAACCATATGGTTACGGTTTTATTGCAATGATGAGCATGTTTTTTTCTTCAAACGCGTCATTCACGTTTGAGTTTTAAAACAACATGAAAACGAAAAATCCAAAATTTTAGCCCACAGTGCTGCCTTCGTTAGTAGAAAGCGAAGCGAAAAATTTACAAACTTACTTCCAAAAACAATCAACTTTCACTTAGTCTAGTCTCCCTGAGTAGAAAGATTTTGAAACACCAAGGAACAGTTCTCATTAGCCCTCGAAATGATGCTGATGCTTCAGCTGAGAATCATGGTGGAAGCAACGTTGCTGCTAATTCTTTCGGTGAGTGTTCTCTTATCGTGTACAACAGAGTGTTCCGGCAACGGTAAAACGAATTGGTCAAGTCTGAGGCAAGCATTTTACATAAAGTGATTACGTTTGAGGCGAAAAATTGCAATTCGTAGAAACGTGGTTTGCCGGCCGCCACGATGACGCGGAAGTGCTTATCGCAGCAGCGCCAAATTCGAGGCCATTGGCGCGCATGGTAGTTCAAAAAACGTGCCATAATTAATCAAGCACAGTTGACTGAACTATGTATAAGACTGAGAATGTAATTGGAAACGCGTCAGATTTCTAGAAATCTTATGTAAGGACAAGTGGTGGCACAAATTATGCATAAAATTCTGCAAACATTGCTGTTTTATGGTTGCTAGCAAAAGTTGCTGCTTATGGCCTTTAATGGCTGTGCCACAAAATAAACATGAAATGTCAGCATGGAAAAATGTAACATACTCAATATCTCCCTGATATGCAAAATTAGTGATGCTTGACGTCTGAAACAAAAAAAATCTCTTGAAACTCTGTTAATTCCAGCTACTCATCGTTCACTGCAATGCTCGCGTTGTAAGAAGTGAACTAGGAAAACACCCTTCACTGATTCATAACGAAGACGAGGTCATGTTTCACAACTTAGAATATCCCAACATGGTGGAAAACGACGAAGGTAATCATTTCTGTTCAAATCATTTTTCTGTTCATACAGTAACTTCTAAATATATTTGTAGAAAACGAAGTAATTGCTGTACGGCTCTTGAACAGCCATCTTTCAAAATCGCTTTTATCAAACCCAGTGGATGTACAGAATGTCTCATATGAAAGTGTACAAGATGTACGAACGGACGAAAACAGAACTGAACTTGAAACAGAGGGAATTCAGCGAGACACAATTGAAACAACCACAGCAAGAAACAAGATGGAATCAACAACATCACAAACACTACATTCCTATGATAAATCCTTAGAGGAAGACTGGGTTCGTTCCCAAATAGAAATTCCTCTATCATCTGAGGAAGAGGAAATACATTACGAAGGCAGTAAGATAATAGCCACACCAGGAAGTTTCACAACTTCAACAACTTTAACAACTCCAAAATCTACGCCTACGACTGCCAAAATACTATTTAGGGCAACAACCTTACCACCATCAACTTTCCGAAGCCCCGTAGTTTTCGGATATCGAAGGCGAAAAGCAAGAAACCACCATTATTACTACGACGAGCTTCCGGAAATTGACTTCGATCAAATAGATCTTGGTGACCTAGAAGATTCCGAAATAAATGGAAAGCGACTGAAAGAGTTGGTTGCCCACGGTTACGAGCCAGAAAGCATAGAACAACCCGTTCGTCCCCGGAAACGACGCCCGAAAATGCAACCCATCCAAACTACCGAATGCCCATGTGCCAACGAAAGACGGCAACAGTCAGTCGATGACTATGACGATCAATCAGTAGAGCACAGACAACTTGCACCGTTGAAGAAACGGTTTATCAACCAGCAAAATCAGTTACCCACCGAAGATTTTCTGGATCCCGATATGAGCATGGAGCAGGCGGAACGCGTTCAGGGCGCCCTGGAACGAATCATGGGAATCGTAACGATCATGTCCCACGTCGATAGTTTCATCCACAAGAAAACCAAACAGTCGATAAGGCGACTAGCGAAGCTGTACGAAAGCGAAGAAGAGTGAAGGCTGTGGAAAAAAAAATAAATATGTTTAAACTGATAAGAACGGTTTCAGTATGTGTGTTTGGACTTTCTTCAGTGTGGATTATCAAATTTTGCTTCTTAAACGAAATGTTACATAAGACAGGGGGCCACGGTCCAAAAGGTTAACATTTTTTATGTTGACCTTCTTAATCGCACTCATGAGACTGCGTCAATAGAGCTAACTCAGGAGCAGAGAAATCGAATGTTGACTTAAAACTTAGGAATTCAATATTTATTTTTACAAGCTAAATATGATGACGTTGATACTAATTGATGCATGTTATTAGTTTCCCACTTCCATTACTCAGCTAGGAACGACGCTCTTCATGAATACAGGGTGACTACTGGATTTGAGAAATTTTACTCCGTTTTTCCCAGATTCCTACCATATTTTTCGCGGTTTCATATAAACGGCTAAATATGGTAAAAAAGAACCTAAATTTATCCACCTATGGTGAAATCTGACTCTACTTACTAAAAAAATTTTCAGCAAAAGCGCTCATATTTATGATGTGATTTAATGATGAATTTTGATGTGATTTCCGGTATCACATGACAGCAGTTCCAGGCAAAATAGGATAAAAATAAAAATAAAATGACTCGACCTTCTACGATTTACATGGAACTTTGCATAATTTTGTGTTATGGTATCTGTAAAAATTAGCCATTTTGGATCTTAATTTTTTTTCAAAATGGCGTCTTTGAAAACGTACAATAAATTTTAGCGCGAAACCGTCACTTCTAATCAAAATGACGTTTGAGACAAAGTTGTTTATAAATGTACGTCTATTTTTTTAGTAATAATGAGTAAAAATGAAAAAAAAAATGTGTAAAAACTGAATTATCTCAAAAAGTATATTTTCAACCATGAAAATTGACAAAAATCGTAGAATATCAACTTTTGGTCATATTGTCAAATTTCTTGTTAACAAACTATCTCAAATATTGTTTCCTGTGTAGAAATTACATTAAAACGTGTACTAACAAATTCTTCAAAAATTTAGCCAAAAATTCTTGATTTGTGATTTTTGTCAATTTTCAAGAGTCCAAGGTTTAAATATTTCAAAAGATTGTATTTTTATTGCGTATACAAATTTAGCATATACTTTTTGAGATATTTGATTTTATGTGTTGGAATGTCTACTAAACATTACTAGAAAAATGAGTACCGTAAAACGGGGTAACATTGATATTTTTTTAAAGTATTTTCTAAATATTTTTTGCAGCAATGAATATTTTTCAAATTTTATATTTTTAAAACAAGTACTGAGGATCCAAGAGTTAATTCGTTAGTAATTTGTTTAACGGGAATTAAAGCATTTGCACTATTTTTTAGCTTTGTTACCGAACATCAGTATTTTGATTTAGGGTTACTTTGATAATGCTCGATGAATGTAGAAAAAAATGCGTTAAACTCAAACATTTTAGTTCTTTAAATATGAAACTTAGTTTAGTGCATGTCGTATTACCAACCGGTGGAAACTAACGATTTTAAATTGGCTCACTACTTGACTAGCCTATTGGTCCCAAGCAAATCGATTAACGTACCCCATTCTAGTCAAAATTCTAGTACTGCACAATGTTTGTTTTGATTCGCTATATTAAAGTTTGACAGATAAAATGAGGGGTTAGTGGATTTTCCTATGTTTCGAGGGGTGAATCGATTAGCTTGAGACCGAAGATAGTACCAGAGCTGAGCCAAAAAGTTGAGCATATTTCTTCGGGACGTACTAGTCTTAGAGTTACCTCTATGGTATTACCATAGAGGTAACTCTAAGACCACTGGGTCCCGAAGAAAATCATTATTATTTTTGGCTCACTCAGTACCAGAACAACGGTCCCAAGCAGTCCCAAGCTATTTCACTCACCCCTGCATGTTCTGCATGAATCCACACACCCCTGATGTTATCTGTCAAACTTTCATAGCGAATCAAAACAAACATAGTGTAGTAATAGAATTTCAACTAGAATAGGGTACGTTAATCGTTTGCTTGGGACCAATAGGCTACTAAAGTGGTGAGCCAATTTAAAATCGTTAGTTTCGTATTGATTGTTGGTATTACTCCATCACTATTAAGAAATGATGAAGTTTTCGATTTTTTTTTTACAGTTGCCACTCTTGCATTTATCGCAAGGATCCGACTCTAATTGAAAGGTCCCGTTATTTATACCCTTCGGAGTTTTTAAACACCCTCCAAAGGCGGGCCCCTTTGGCAGTCAACATTGGATTCCTTAGCAACAACATTGAGAAATGACGGCGATAATGACCATGCATCATAACCCTAGTCTTAACCACTTCAACCTAGGGAACAACGAATAGAATATTAGGAATCACATAGATGAAGACTAACCATCTCATTTTTTCCTTGTTTCAAGATCATCCTCGGTGGACAAAGCCGAGTCTTGTCACTATCAACAAGGCATAAAAAGTAACAAGGACTAAGATGTGTTCCTTGAATTACTGAAAAATCATGTTCCCCAAGTTTGAAATAGTCAGGACTAGGAATCGGTGGTAGATCTTACATCCCGTAACGTACCACGAAAAGGTGATCTACCCACGTTACGGGGAAAATTACCATAAAACTATATTCCCATTTCACGACTTCCTATTTTCTGGATGATTTTATTAGCTTGACATATAGGGTAAATGATGGCTTCGGCAGTCATCGACTGTTTTCGGCAACCACAATTTAAACGTTAATTTCGAAGTATTTTCTCACTAAAACACTTCGCTGAATGTATTTAAACGATTCCTTAGTCTTTCAGCTTCAATCCTAATACATTTTTACGACTGATAAAACCTGTAATGTCAGGTGTTTCTTCAAAAGAAACATAAGCACATCAAAATACGGCTGATTTCGAGTTGCCGATAATAGAACAGCTGGTTAACACGCAGTTTAAACGGAAAGGTTGCCGAAGTAAAAGAGGCTGCCGACAATAGTCACACTCACCTGAGAAGTTTGGAGCGCCTTAAAAACGTTTTCAAACCGTTTTGGACAGTTTTGTTGATTGGAATGGATAGAATAGCTAGCAGCAGATGAATGTAAACAAACAGACACGTCATGTGTGTGCGTGACACTGAGAAAATGCTAATAGAAGTGCGGAAGCTGCTTAGATTGACGAGAATACGTAAATTCCCCTAGTTGAAAGCATAATCACTATAAACAAAACAAGTAAGAGGTTGTATCCAAAACACGACCGTAGATTTGACGTAGGATTGCTCGGTTCAATATTCGACGACTGTGTTAGGGAAACCATTTTTCCCATCACGGAAACGCGCTCGTTTTCTGATGACAAAATTTTCGAACTCAAAACGCACGGAATTTTTGGTTTATTCCGAAAATTGATTGGAAGAATTTCTTGCTAAAATTTTCCAATCGCGAGATATTCGCAATCAAGCATATAAATTCGAGATTTTTTTGCTTTTTTCTAGCGTCCTGGAAAAAACCTTACCTTAATTCGAAATGTTTCCGGTTAATTGACAAGGTCATGTGGTATCCGGTCATTGCGAGAAGTTGTATGTACCACTTCAATACTGTTACGCATTTAACCACAAACGTTTGATTGCTGGGTACATTATCAAAGAGCTTTGGGGGTGATGTGACAATATGAGGAACATTATGCCGTACACTACACATTTTTATATCATATGGGTGGAAAATTCGTAGAACAAATACTTTAAAATTCTTCACATTTTAAGATATCTTCGAGCATGAAACTAAGTCAAACTTCAATAAAATCACTTCGAATAGTCAACCTTTGGTTACAAAGTTGATACATGACACATTAAACTTTGCTATGAAAGTTGTTACAGCAGTTTTCGTTATTTCAGTCTCGAGATACAAATATTGTAAGCCGTAAATTACCTTAAAAACATAAAATTAACTTGAAGCACCTCTAAATCATCATCGATTTTGCTGAAAATTTACACAGAAGTACAAATTAACATGACGAATAGTAATCACGGTTGACCCGTTACATTCGGAACATTTCGTTTAAAATGAACAGGTCTAACACATATGTTTCACTTCACTTAATTTTTATAAAATACATTTCATTTCATATTATATTATATTGTATTACATCGTGTTATATTACTTCGCATTATTTCAAATTATTTCCATTAGGTCATTCCTTATTTTTCAGCTTTATAGAAAAGATTGCAACTTTATTATTTAAAAAAGTACATAATTAGTACAAGATGAATGCAGTAAGATGAGACATCTTGGCCACATATTGACTCAGTACAAATGAGATGCTCCATAGAGAATTAATATAAAATATCGACTCCAGCTACTTCGTTATGTTGTTTTACAACCTGTAGGGTTAACTACCCCATTTCCGGCCTATTAAACACAACCCGCACTTAGTCTTTCTTAATCTAGCGCAGTTTAGCACCAAACGGAATGTTATTATTACTGATGGCTTCCAAATTTATTTACCTTTCCGTATGTACCGTAAGATTTGGTAAAGAGAAACCAATCGTTGAGATATTGTCAAAAGTCTAACATTGCTTCTTGACGCCAAACTTTGCCTACGGATTCTAAACTCGGCCTAACGCATTGAAACGCCAATGAATTCACTTCGGCCTATCAGATGAAGATAAAAATTGATTCGGTCGGAGCGGTGTTTTTGGGATTAATGGGTGCAAACCTTCATATCACGCGTTCTCATTGACTTCGTTCGGTAGCGTATTAACTAAAGTATCGTACCAAACGGATAATTGACTTGTTAACTCTGAAATCATGGATTTATTTAAAGTTTTCTGCTCGATAGGCCCAAAATGGGCGATTAGGCTGAAGTAGTTCTCTACCCTTATGTTTCTGGAATGCGCTAGGCGTTGATTTAACTGACTCTTGCTTGATTACTATGCCTTTACCGGCTGATCTAAGGGAGGCACATATTATATTTTATTATTTTCATCGTATTGTTCTACATTTAAGATGATTATTTTGTATTTTATTTAATTTAATTTTAAAACCATTTTACTGTTCACTTCAACAGCATGTTTCCTCATGAACT